AAAGAGGGGGAAAAGGGGGGAAGAGCAACAGTAGATGTATGAGTTTAAAACCCATAAATTATTTGTCAGACTCCAGAATGCTTTCCTTACTTTCTTCCATGAAATTGAAGTTATATTTATATTGACATTCTTTTTGTCTACACTTGAAAAACTTGAAAAAAGAAAATAAAGCTTTGATATGTTTTCGTGGGAAGGCAGAAGTGCCTATTTTTTATTCTTAGCAATGGATATTCCCATTTTGAATCCTATTTCAAAAAGCATGTCTTATGTGCATGTGTAGCTAATGTATACCATATACCCCATTTATGTACAAGCACAAGTGTTTGAGATTCATATACCAAACGGAACAAAAAGGAAACAAAACCAGAGAAGTGTAACAAAAAAATAATAGAGCACTACTACATGGAGATGAGGGTATTTAAAGTACAGGATCCAACACAAGACTGAAAAACATCAATTACATTTAGCAATAAGTTCTGGCTTCTTAACACTCAAGGACAGACAAATGCAAAAAGAAATATCAAGAGGAAGGCTATTTAAATGCTTGTATTATTAAATAAAACCAACATTCATTGTATGCTCATTACTGTACTTTTGTCTTGCACACAGAGTTGCAGAATTTATACCACTCTACACTACAGTAAAACTAAAGAAGGATGTCTCTTCTTAAAAATTGCATCCTAACAGTATCCTCAAAAATGCATAATTTAGCCAAAAGTAACTTCAAAAAAAATATCTAAAAGGATAGTGATAAACATAAATTAATGCTTGTATTAATTGTATAAAAACATGTATTAAAATAAATTTGTTATAATTCATGAGAAAGTGCTTCATAAAATCACTATCATTTTTATGCACTAACCCTGATTATAATACTACAGTCTGGCTCTTTTCTTTCCACGTAAACTTCAATAAGCAAATCTCCAGCCTGGGAAACCTAAAACAAAAAAATTTTAACAAAATTAGACTATCTTAAAAGCATTTTAAATATCCTTTTAAATATGGAAGTACAATTATTATCTAGAAGATGTGCTAGAAGCTACTGAACTAAAACTTTTTTCCCCACCCATTTATCTACAAAAATAGCCCAAACTGTTGACTGTAATGGTGAAACGTGCACTACAATCACTTTTATTTTATTAATAGAAGGAAAAAATACCTATTCACAGATTTGGGAGAAAAATCTAAATCCAACAAAATTGTATCAAACAAAGTGAACATACTTGTCATTACATTATTAAAGAATGAAACAAAACATATACTCTTGATATCAACCTCTGAAAATATAGTTCTTCGAATTTTGTTGAAGAGGTATCTAAACTTTATGTACAATGTTAATATGGAATAACTAGATAAAGCACATGCATGACATAATACATAACAGTTTAACATACTAAATACCAACAAATGTTATATAAGAATGTCTAACTTAGAAAGAAATTGGAAAGTCAGTAAATCCAACATTTTATGATCAAGAAGAAAAGTGTGATTCATGAGAAGCAATGTAGTGTCTTCATTGTAACTAGGTTTGCTCATCTATGGCAATAAAATTACCTTCATGGATGAGAAATTACTTTACTTTTCTACATTTAAAAATGTTTCACATTTTGCCTGCTCCAATTCCCTTGCAGTATAGTCATAAGCATCTTCAAAAAGATTGTAATTCATCCCAGTCCAGTACCAAAAAATATTTCCTAAAACTCAGTACATGGTGATGATCAGAGCATAGGAAGAAAAATTAAGGTAGAAAACCAGACTTATCAGGAGATGTACCTTTTTATTAATAAGCCAATTAAAGAATTAATAATCAAATTAACACTAAGAATAACAAACTGTACCTTAATTTTGAGAACAGTATACATACTGATGCTACTTATTTATATATTATTACAAACAGTGGAAGAGGTCAAGAAAAGTATACAGAAACACACACACACATATATATAAAAGCAGTCAAGCTTTGAGATACATTTTGAGTATTTTACAGAAGCCAAAATTACATTTCTATAGAAAAATAAAAGGCAGTGCTGAATTTTAAAGAACATGAACACTCTGAAAACCAGCAACTTTTAAGTTAATTTAGCCTCTGAGAATAGAAAACTAATGGAAACATTTGTGAGGAAAAACATTACAAAGCTACTTTGAAGAAAGCTGTTTAATTATAGTGGCACAAATTCAAAAAAAGCTTATTTAGTTGTAAAATTTGCTTTTCAGATGATATTACAGAAAAAGGTTGGAAATAAGAACGAAGCTGACAGATGATTTCCACTGGGTTCATGTAAACAACTGTATGGAGAAGAAATGTGATCTGAACTACAGCAGCAAACAAAAACAGCTGCATAAGTATATGTTGGTGAGAAAATGCAGAGCAGCTAATGAAGTGCCACCTGAAACAGAACTTCAGTGACATTTCAGACATGAACTTCCAGGGCTTCAGCAGAAATTTGGTTCAGTTGTTCTTCTCTGAACACTGTGCACCACCAGAGATAATGTAACTAACATCATATGTGCATGTTTTGATGCAATATCATCAGACTATCAGTTGTTAATGCAAAGAATTCTTACAATTCTTAATTGTAGCCACTTGAGGCCTAAGTGGCCAATTATCCATGATGCTTACATGACTGCAGTGATGCTGTTACAACACAGTCACACCACATCAGCAGTTTTAACCTATGGAAAAACTGCTGTGGAGAACTGATGAGTCTGATTGAGCAAGATCATGAGCTGAGCCACTTGCTTATCTTGCCTCTGGCTTGTGCATACAGAGTTTCAGAAATTTTCAGAAAAATGTGCTTTTAAACTGAAACACTAGCTGCATTAATCATGTGTACTACAAAAAAAAAAAAAAAAAAAAAAAAAAGACAGTTGGCAAAAAATGAAAAAATATTCCACATCTTAATTCAGAAGGGAAAAATGTTCACAGGCACAATCAAGTTGCCACAAATGACAGCCAGGTTCTTATGGACTCCACCTCTGAGTTGTTATTTCAGGGGTAACAGATTGACATAACAGAGAGGACACAGTCCTCATCCTTTAAAACAGTTCAAACTTCAATTTATTAACCAATAAAAGGTAGAGGTTTTGTTACAAAATGTCCATCACTTGTTTAGAAAGCTAAAAAGAAAAAGGCCATTCTCTCTGTAGCAAGTGCTCCCAAACAACTAAGGTCTCCTTAGGTCATATTTGCTCTTTGGTGGCTCTTTCCCCAGGAAATGCCATAGAGACTAGAGGTGGGAAAAAAAGGTGGAAAACAGCTGTGGCATAATACCTTACTCTAGAAATTTTCTGAGAAAGCACTTAATGAGTACAGGAAGAATTTACAGATAAACCCAAGTGGTAACACAACTCAGTAAAATTCACTATCAGTGGCATCGTATCTAGGAGACTCAGTAGGCAGATACCACAGTCCACTTTCTTCCCATGGCATGAAAAAAATAATCTGTTTTCAGATATATATTTAAATACAATTCCTAATGCATTTCTTTTTATCCCTTTCTCTCCTTTTAAACTAAAGTAGGAAGAGCCATTTTCTTCAATTTTTTAAGTTCTATTTGTACAAGTGTTCAATCTCAGACTAAAAGCAGTCATTTCCAGCAATGTGTTGAGAATGAATGAGAACAAATTTGACAGTTGCATACCACCTAATAAAATAAAAAGCCCTTTCAGTGCTGCCTTCCACATTTTTAGTACTGTAAAGCACTGAAAATTATCCTTTTCTATTTCTGAGGCCAGGTGGGATGAGCAAAGGTGAGATGGAAGCAGAGGCAGGTGACCCAAGAAAAGCACAGAGCTAGTGTCCCATTGTGCAGGGATGAGGTTAGAAAAAACAAGGATGACTCTGAGTTGAAGACTGCAAGGTGTGTGAAGGGCAATAGGAAAGGATTCTGCAAGTACATAACAGCAAAAGGGACACTAAGGAAAACATGGGCCCACAGAATAGGGCAAGGGAGCAGAGGACAAATCACACAGGAGAGGTGTTAACAGCAAAAGGGACACTAAGGAAAACATGGGCCCACAGAATAGGGCAAGGGAGCAGGGGACAAATCACACAGGAGAAGTGGGATTACTAAGGTACTCAGTGACATTCTTTGCCTCAGTCTTTACTCATAAAGATGACCTTCAGACATCCCAGGCCTCTCAAACTAGAGGGGAGGTCTGGAACAAGGAAAATTGCCCCACAATGGATGGGGACCAGGTTAAGGAGCACTTACAGAAATGAGGTGTATATAAGTCCATGGAGCCTGACAAGTAGGACATTAGGAAAAGGTTCCTTACTAAGACAGTAACTGGACACCAGATTTCCAAGGGAAGTGGTCATGGCACCAAGTCTGTCAGAGTTCAAGCAGCATCTGGACAATGCTCTTTGTTGTACACATTAGTTTTGTGTAGTCATGTGAGGATCAGGGATTCAGAACTGAATGATCTTTATTGGTCCCTTCCAACTTGAGGTAGTCTATGATAATTCTGTGATTAGGTAGCAGATTTTGTTTCATTTTTAAGGTTAAAGTGATATTACTATTCTTTTGTAAACAATGTGAAGCTTAGCCTTGTGTGGTATGAGAATCAGGCCAGAGTCTATTAACACAGTAGGTATAGCTATCAATTCAGAAAGCTGATTATTAATTCTAGAGACTTTGTTGAGAGCAAAATAAGAACAGTTAAAATTCCAGCTCCATCTTTCTATAAATCCTCCTCTAAACAACCTGGAGAGTCCCAGGGAAACCTGTCCAAACAGGCCAAATTATGCATGAAGGCTCCAATTTGATGATAAAGTTTGAAATGTGAAAGACTAGCTTTTTATGTGCAGGAAGCTTTTTAATAATAACCTTACCAATTTTAAAAAGGCTAGACTTTATTAAAAAAAAGCCACTTCCTTCAATAGGCAGCCTTCTAAATATAATACACCTCATAAAGGTGATTTCACAGTGGTATGTGGGGTGGAAAAATACAGAACAAAGCCACTTCATTCGGTTTTTCTCTATATTTCTCACAGCTTCAGTTTTAGAAAAACCCACCTAGCCAGCCGTTGCTACTATATTATTCAATCCATCAACAGCCTTTCATTTTCCTTTCTATTTTTTACTCCCTATCTAATAAAAATGTCTCTACTATCTACTTCCCTACTCATGAAATTGCTCTCATATCTCCTTTATTTTTCCAAGGTATTACAAATATTTAACCATTACAGCTTCCTAGAGTGGCTTAGAAAATATTAAGAGTGTAATAAGCTTTAACAAGCACTTTTTTTTCTTCTTCAAAACCACAGAAAGGTTTATGCATTTTCACTGTTTGAGGCTTCAAAACTTTATTCTCTAATGTCACTAAGGTCCATTTTGTAGACCATGGAACTAATAAGTTCCATTAAAGATACTTCAATCCCTGCCTTGCAGAATGCTCTTAGGAATATCAAATCTGGGGTATTTTTTTGGCTATTACCAAGGCAGATGTTTCCATTCTGCAAGACAGACATTAGAAATACACTTTAATTATTTTCCCCGGTAACTTGGTCACTCCCCACCAGGCATCCAAAGGACATTCTACCTTCTATAAGCACATTCACAGTAGGTCATTATGGTAAGAAGACTCCATACTACTCTCACACGGACAATAAAGGAATATGAGACAAAAATAAGACTCCAGATAGAAATTCACAGAACCTGCAATTTCAACACGTATTTACAAGACCCTTTGTTCTTAATTATGGCTTTCAAGGTACTGCAAAACTATCGCTGGATGTGGAAAGGCAGCCAACAGATAAAGCATTATAGATTCTCTCTGCCATCTTTCTATCAATTTCTAAAGCCCTATAAGCTCCAAAATCACTGAAAGCTTCTCCACCACTCCTATAGATTTCTGAAATAGCTTTTAAGCTCCCTACATCTCATTTTCCTTCTCCTAGTTCAACCACCTGGGTAGTGTTATGAAGCTTAGCAAGTTTTGCTTTAATTAGGACTGTACACAAATACTATTCAGACATTCACTTTCCTATTTCTTACAACCCTGAAATTATTCAAAAGCTGTCACAGGTAAAACTGGAACTTAAGACCATAAGCAGTGTAAGATCTCCCATTTTCTTATATCATATCCTGAAGTTCACTGTTTGACTGTTAGTATGTGTCTGAAGCTTGCACAAATAATAATTGTGCTTCAGGGTGCTAGAAATGGTTGCAAAGCAGGATGTGGCTAAAGATTTAGATGCTTTAAACATCCTTTAAACAAAGGGATGGTAAAACTCTAGTGAAGAGAGACCCTGTATACCCAAAGCTCATGAAATAATAAAAACTAATATACACTTGAAGGTATTTAATATGCATGTTTAAAATTAAAAAAAGAAAGGTCACTGCTCTCACAGTTCAAATGCTGACTATTTCCTTCTAATACAATTTATGAAGCATAGTAAAAATATGTAATAACCTGTAAGATGGTGTGGTGCTTAGGCCAGAACATAATTCCACAGTATGTTTTACACAGAACTCTTTTACTTCATCAGTTTATGCTTCCTCTTTCATTTCCCTCATCTCTGTTGTTAACAACACTGATCACTATACAAACTTATAAATTCATTTTTAGAAATCTAGGTCTAAAAATCTGTACACAGCAAAATAGTATTTGTTAAAATTATTCTCACACCAGTTGATATTTGCCACTTACCTGAGTGTCTTTCCACCTGGTAATAAAGCTGTTCTCTATATCCATTTGTTTGACCTGGTCTTCATTAATCTGTTTAAAATGAATCATTTTTGATCAATTAATGAATATAGTAACAATTACCAATACTGTCAGTTACATACTTATAGAATTACAGAATTTAAGGGTTGGATCTTACAGATGATCTAGTCCCAACCCTCCCTGCCATGGGCAGGGACATGTCCTCACGAGATCAGGGAATAGAAGCAGCTGTGCAAAATATTCTATCAGACAGAAACAGCTACTCATTGATGGGACTCATTATTATAAACTTCCCAAAATACTTATTAAACCAGAGAGGAATCTATTAAAAACTGCCAAACAGTGTTACAGAGGCACAGTAAATGTTAAATCAAAATGGCTAATACAAATTGCTTCTAGTAGTGTCTTTTCTATCCAGCTTAATTTAACATTTCTTCTAGGCCTAGAGAACAAGACACTTTCTCTAATCTTTATTGTAACCACAGCTCAGAGACTAAGAACACAAAACCCTTCCAGGCTTCAGTTCTGATCAGGCCCACAAAATATGAATAGAAGTTTTATTTTTCATAGTCATAATCAGAAAATTTTCTTAAAATTAGTAAGCAAGAAGAATAAGCACAATTTTGGAAAACAGTAGCTCACAGCATCCTATAAATGCAGTCTTTCCTACACTGGCTAAGCTAGCTGGGAAATAAAATTTAAAGCAGGCCAAGAACAACACTCAATTAGAGTTAAACTCCCTGCATATCTTCAGATTGTTTAAGTAATAGCAAGACAGTACTCAAGAAGATTTCTACATTTTAGCATCTCTAACAGCTGTGTAACTAGGCCACTTTTCTATAAAGATACCTACCTGAAAAAGTTGCACATAGTTTTTAATTAGATCTTCAATTACATTGACTTCTTCACTAGTTTGGCCTTTAGTTTGAAATAAGCATGAGGAAAACACCATGGCTAAATTGTGAGGGTTCATATGATTTATTTCAGAACACTTCTGCACCCTGTGTAAGGAAAAAATAAACATATTTAGAAGGTTTTTAAATGTCATTGCTATGTACCTGGCAATGTAACATAATGTCTGAACACACTATCCTGTTAAGAAAAATTTCTACACATTCTCTACCCACTACAATTTATCAGAACTATAATTGGACTTGTTCAGTAGATGATACAATACAATATAGACTAGTACTATTTAACCATGACATTGGAGAATCACTCAGTAACATATTTTTAATATGTTTCCTGCCCCTTATTTGATCTAGGAATAAGACACGACTTTTGGCCCTTAAACAAGTTTATATTTGGATATTTTCTACCAGTACCTCAGCTGTAAAATGAAGCACTGATGAAATAGAGAAAGGGTAACTAATTCTCAAAGTTATTATGTGCAAAACAGATTGTGGAGAAGGACATTTTCACTGAAAAAAAGATCTTTTAATTTCAAGAACCATTTGCAACAATCCTCTGGAAGACTAGCAGACTGGAGTAAAATGAGATTGCAAAAAGGAGCTACATCAAAAATTACCCTACTTAGACACATACACTGCCAAGCCTTCTCTCCCTGTAAGGCTGTTCCAACCCATTGATTTTTACAGATACCTTCTGCTAAAAATACAACCAAAGAAAAACCATATTATCAATTAAAGGGATTCAAATGTAAGTAATCATTAAACTAGATAAGCTTTTGTGATTACTAGTTAATGAAACAAGCCACATTTCATATATGGCAGAGTCATACTGAGAGCACATTACAAGAATCTCTCTGCTACAATGCATTGTCTGCAATGACCTGTAAAGATGTTCAATTAAGGCAGCCAAAGTTGCTCTATTCACTGGTGGAAGTGTCCGAATAAAAGCTCCATACTTCCTCACACGGTCCTTTTCATTCTGTGTATCTGCCAGAAAATGGTAATCATTGAGCATTAATAACACTGCACATTAAAACCCAACAGCAGTTCTCTAACTACAGCAGCACCATCTACTCCTTTAACATTATTATTTACCCAATCAACCTCTTTTTCATAAAGGCAATGCTGACAATCTACTATTAAAAGAGTCTATTATTGTACACCAGTTCAGTGAAACAGCAATAAGGAGATGCAGTTCCATATTCAAGCACTATTTGCATCTTTGCATTTGAATCTTGTGGTAAGTGAATGCATTCTTAATATTTTTCCCTCTAGTTTGTTCAAATTGAGGTTAGAGGTAAAAAAATGTCTAACAGTGATAATACTGAATTTCCCAAACTCCAGTGGTTCATATTGAAGCAACCTCTGTATGTTTGAACTTAAGCAAAATCAGAGAGGAATATGCTTTTAAAATCTCTTTTTTTTAAAGACAAAACTCACCACACAGTAAATACGCCTATATGATTCCTATGCATTAATGTAAAAGTTCTATCTTAGATTTTCCTATGCATCTCTCATTGCTATGCATTGACTGGAATTTTATAGCACAATTTGGCAGGGAAACTCTTTTCTTGCAGTTTGTAAATACTGTAACATAGAAACAAATAGAAATATAGCTATTTTGAAAGAATGCTATAAACATCATCACAATTTATGTAATGAGTAACTGAGTAATGTGTTAGTAATCTCATGGCTCTATTTTTAACCATATAGAGAGACACATCTTCATGTTTTAAATACATCACAATCTCCAGTAACAGGAAGTTACTTAAATTTTCCTTCAAACTAAATTAGCATTTCTAAAGGCAAAATAGCCTCAGTAACAGTTGTTAACAAGTTTATATGTAAGGTAATATACATAAGCTTGTTTGAATATTCATAAAAGGTATATGAAAAATTTAAGCAGCAAGACTGTTATTTAACTATCATGCAGGTGACAGCATCAGCATTTTGCCATTTTTGAACTACATATGGTCAAAAGACAGAGTACATGATTTTTTTTCCTACTCTAACGTATGTCTATTTCTTGATTTCTACCTTAAACATTTCTATGAAATGTAAATCATCAGTTTTTAATTTGGCTGATCCAACTATGACACAGTGCAATATTGGTCTACTGTTTACAACTTCACTGTCAGGGAAACATTTCTCTTTGTTATTATTATTCTATTTCACTTAAAGGGAATAAAATCATCTCTGATTAACATAAATCTATTGCAGCCTAGTTCTAAATATTTTTTCCTCACTAAAATTGTTTTGCCAATTATCAAATAACTTAAGTTGACACAGGGCAAATAATTAGCAACCCCCTGAAATTGGATATTGAAAATGTACATACAACCTTTATTGTACTGAGGGCTACTGAATACATTACCTAACACAGAGATCCAGAACGGGTAAAGTTCTTTAGTGAGAAGTGCATCATCTATTTGAGAAAGAAAACTTTTCAGTACATCTGTCACATCTTCGAGCTGATGTTTTCCTGCTCTTAGCTTAACACTCCTTGCATCTTTTTTGAAGCTTTCCAGCAGTTCAGCCACATTGGAAGAATCACCATTCTTAAGGTAGATCTGCTTGCTACCTAAACCTAAGGTACAGAAATATAGGACAAAAAAAGAAATGAATGCAAAATCAAGCATTCTTTAAAAAAAAAATCCAATAATCATTATATGAAAAGCATATGTGGCTGCCAAACATGTACTTCTACCAAAATCTCTCTGACCTTTTGCATATACTTGCTTTGCTAGTAAAAACACTGCCAAGTCTGCTTACCTGCTACTAGTGCTCTTTGCAAAAATATATATCATATTGTTAAGCAAGTCTAGGATGACAAATACAGGTGTACTTTACAGGCAATTCAAACCCCCAAATCTCTTCAGGGCTTCCTAAAACAGTTACTTTCCAAGGGAAGAAGTTTTGATGATTGGTATTGTATTAAACATAAAACCCAGCTGCTTTTTCATGAGCAAAACTCCCCTTACTTTATTACCCTACTGGTGAACTCAGCTTAGGACTCAGCAAAGTATTATTGCATTCATCCAACTTGAAACATTTCATTCTTAAAAGCCTCAAGATTAGAAGAAAGTATTCCTTTTTTCTGAATTTTCTCACATTCTGGAAGACAACAGGCAGGCACTATTGTTGTATTTAACAACTAAAACCACCAAAGTCAACTTAAAATAAAATTTATAGTCTAAAACAAAGCCAAGACTATCATCAGTTACTGTATATGAGAGTAATCAAAACTTTTGCTTTTAAAACTTGTGTAAGTTTGGCATAGACGTGCAGTCCTATTTCTCTTTGTAGAGATGTTTTCCATGTTCCCCACATTTCTTGAAAGAGAATGGTACTTGATACAAAACCCTGCTTTTCTTATGTACCTGTCAAATTAAGTGCTCTGTCAAAACTTAGGAAATCATGTCTCAGGTTCTTGCAATTCATCTTTCCCCTGTAATGCCCATAAGCACTTCCTTCTGATACTGTTTTTGTGCTGTTACTGTCAGGAGCAGCAGCACTTCCTTCTGATACTGTTTTTGTGTTGTTACTGTCAGGAGCAATCATGGAACCCAATAATATAGTATCTGTTTTCTGTAAACTACAACTAAAGACAGAACCTTTACAATGAGGACACAAAAAAATGTATGCATACAAGTATTGCATACAAATAATTACTTCAGCCTCCAAATGAGCATTTTAACACCCAGTAATGCTGATCCTGAAAAAACATATTTTTTAATAAAGATCTAACCTATTTAAAATACATTAGGAAATTGAATTTTAACTTAGAGCACAAATTGTTCTAAGTGGCAAACATAATTACCCTGCTTTTACAACACTTCAGTGCATGAAATGGTGCAAACTATACTTGGAATAGTTCCTATTGCTGATGATTAAAAAATAATTTAGCAAAAACTTTTATTTCTTAATTTTAGGCAACAGTTGTAACCCCGACACAACTATTTACCATAATGCAGCACTGCCATATTTGAAGGTTATTTAGCTAAACTTCAATCACTCAAATATGGATTAGGCACACTCTTACTGACATAGGTTACAGACACATTTATCCCAAAGACAGATTTGTACAGGGTTGATATGTATTTAGCATTTCACAAGAAAACCAATCAATTTGCAATAGTAAAAGGACATAAACACAATCTGCATATGACCTAATACTATGGAATGTTATGTGGGCAAAATTTACTTAAACAAATGGTCACTGACTATACATCTTTAGGCTATTACACTTAAGAACCAGCAGCCTAAGACTGAACTGAACTCTGCAGTTAATACAAGTCTCCCAGAAGATGTGCTGATCAGTTCAGGCCATAGCTTTTCCTGGCTGACAGAGCTTATTTTCATTGCCAAGTTGTCTGCAGCAGGGCACTGGACCCTAGGGCTGAATTACATCAGTCAAACAAGGCCATATTTAAAATAAGAGGATATCTATATCTATAAAGGATATTTATCAAGCTGTATTTCCCCAAACTGCCCATTCTCAGATGTGTGGTTGTGTACTTCACCATCCCATCAAAGAGAGGCAAGGCTAATGAGGGGTATGATTTTTCTCATTCAGGAAGATCTGATACTGGGAGGGCTTAGGTATTATACAATTATACAAATGATCTTAGGTTGAATAAAAATCCAGTATACTTACCATACTGTGTAACAAATGCTATACAGCTGTTCACTATAATAGGAACATCATTTTTGCTGAGCTGCTGATCTTGTAATGCATTACCATCTGTACCTGCTGCTTTTTCAATTGCAGTATACCAGACCATGAAATCCAGCTTTGTATGGCCATGGATGTAGAGTGTTCTGAAAAGTATAAAAATATTTTGAATTCAGAAAAGAAATAGAAAACTGATGTTATTGTACTACAGCAACAAAGCAGATGCCCAGAAAAAGAAATATTTGGAGTAAGACATCAAGGCACATTCCACTACATAAAGCTGTGATGTTGGTCTATTGTTACAGCACTTTCTTTTCCAGCTACATTTGTACTAGCAGTGCCACAATAGATGAAAGAAGATCCACAAACACTGTCACAAGCCTCTGAAAGGACCTGCCTACGTTTTAATTACTCTTCTTCAGTCTTTCTCCTACACTAAGCATTCCTATGTCCGTGCCACAGTTAAGCAGGACACAGATTTATAGACAACTTTCAATCCTGCAAAAAATCTTGCTTTCCTTTCTGTTCACACACCTACATAGCACACACCCTCTTCTGTAGAGGAGCTGAGCCATACTGAACTTCCCTCCTACACAAGTATCAAAATGATCACCTCAAGACATCACAGAGCTAAGGAACATGTATGAAAAAGCTAAGAGTTGAGGCAGAATAAGTTAATGCAACACTTTACCTGTTTATCTTAAAGCACAGCCCTATTCTGATTTTTGTATTTAAACATGCTACAGTAATGTCCTCTGTTCCACCCTGACAGGCTATCTTCTAAAAGACAAAAACAAAATTGAAAAGTTTAAGGATGTATGTCCACCTTTTTAAGTTTTTACTTCCTGACTTTGAAAGTCATGTTAACCTCCACACGTCTGGCTAGTAGAAACACAGCTTGTCTCTTGCATTAAGGAAAACCCCAATAATTTGCATAAAGCTCTAATATTTTTGCAACAAAATGAGTGTGCCTAATTCAATACGTTCAAACTTTTTCTTAAGGCCTGTGAGAATGGGTAGTTCTCAATGACTTCCAAGGAATACATCATCCTGACACTCTCTGGTATTGCTGTTGCCATATACATAAGGAAAGTTAAAAGTCTGAACTTAGTGGAAAGAAGTTTGACAGTGCATGTTATGCTACTCCTTTAGTACTATTATTCACAGATCAGAAGAGATTAGAGCTATGATTTATAGAAGATTTATGGTGCTTCCCAACACAAAAGATGCACACATATATGCATATTACTGTGGTTTTATTTTCTCTGCAAAACAGCAGGATTCACATTATGGTATTATGCAAAAGGATAAGTGGAGGTCTCAGCAGATTATTTGCTGTTATCTCAAGAATTATGATATATATAGGAAGCAGCATACTGTAAAGCAAAAATATTATTATTTCTAAACAAGAAAAGGGCAACTCTGCTGCATATCATTAAATTGGTACCACAGGAGGAGAGAGAAAATACAGTGTTGAACTTCAAAGGTCATATAAACTTATCAGTATTTGTTCACAGAGATACAGAAGTCTAAATCATGTGCTTGTCAATCAACTGTCATGATGTATAAATTACCTAACTATGTGAAAAAGATCACCTTGAATGAACAGTTGGGGCTGTTCAGCCTGGAGAAGAGAAGGTTGTGTGGAGACCTGAGCAGCCTCCCAGTATCTGAAGGGGCTACAAGGAGCTGGAGAGGGACTCTGTGTTAGGAACTGCAGTGTAAGGACAAGGGGTAATGGCATTAAATTGAAGGAGGGGAAATTTAGGCTATATACTAGGAAAAGGGTTTTTACGGTGAGGGTGGTGAGACACTGGCACAGGTGGCAGAGTTTCTGGTATGCTGTGTGAAGCACACAGGATCCATACCAAAGACATTTATAATTTAAGTACTCAAACAAAGGCCTGCCAATGTAGATTTCTGCCTTATTGAACTGAAGGAATTGGATTGGCACAAATGACTGCAGCAGTCCACAATCACCTAGTCTCAATATTATGGAAGCTGCTGTTACTTGTTCACCTTTATCACTGAATACCATCACATCCTTCTGCACCATCAGCTGGACAAACAATGTATGTGAGCACACTTCATCCACAACAGTGCAAAGGTTTATCTTTAACCCATCTGGCAAAGCCCACTAGGTTTGGCTAGGTCTGTAAGGTTTGTTGCACAACTCTGCAATGGCAAAGGAGTGATACTAAGTGATTTTGGGTAAGGTTTGTGGGGAGGAAGAGCGAGGAACAGACACCAGTACAACTCAGTGCTCTCTGGCACTTTTCAAGTGATTCTAACAATATATCTGCCTGAAAAGAGAAGTACTAAGAAGGTACACATTGCTATGAAATTATATTGAAAAAACAAATTGCAGCTAAAGCATGGAAATTTCACTAATAATCACTATTCCATGTAACAGAAGTCAGCAATATTTCTTCAAAGGATATTGGGTCTTATATCCAGCACATCACACTGGAAGCACAAGTCTTTTCATCTGAGTCTTTGGTTTAAATTAATTCTGGATTCTTGAATTTTGTGCTCATAACTGCATTTTATGAGAAAACTTACTGCTATCATCAAAGGGTTAAGAAGAAAGCATTGTAATTAATGAACCATCAGCACAAAGAAATTGTGCCAGGATGTAGGGAAGGTTTATTATCTATAATAAGAAAGAGCTAACTATGAGAGAAGCATAACAGAGAAAAAAAAAGCACCATCTGGATTACATTATGGTCTGAAAACATTCACTGACACCTAAGAGAGAGCTTAAATGACTACAGTATTTAAAAAAAAGAAATATTTGAAACTGAATTGTCTGCACAACTGTTTCCTTAAAAAATATAATTAGAAATTTCGAATTAAATTTTATATATAGAAGATCAGTTTAAAAACTACTGCATACAGGTGTTTTCAGACACTTTTCCTCTCTCTTCAGTGTACAAATCCCTGGGTTGACCTCTACTGAACTACACAGGAGTAGCTGTTTCACCTAACTACTATTCAACTTCAGTTTGGATGGCAACAGGAGATGAAGTATCACAAGTCACATCAAGCATTTCACAAATACAGAGGAGAGAACACAGGAAAAAATCCAAACAAAGGGAAGCATCAGACACAGATATCTGGAATACAGTTTGCCACTTCTAGCACGAAGTTAAGCATTTCAGCTATGAGAGGAGAATCCACAAAGAGGTGAATGACCATCAGATTATGCTGTAAAACAGTGTTGTGAGAAGTCAGGATTTCCAACCGAGTTGGAGATCATTTTATAAGCCCAGACAATATGCTCCAATAGAGACCAGAGTGCAATAAAATTCCAGTAGGTGTTACAAAAAAGTGTGTTCCTCTATTGGCTTTAGTAAAGATACCCAAGCATGAAAATTAAACATCCTTGAGATCTGAAAAATAAATCTAGACGTTGTCTAGAATTATCATGAAAATTTAGCGAGTACACTGAACTTCAAACACAACAACAACAATCTTCAAAGGAGAAAGAGTCTTGCAGCTTCCAAAATATTTTAGTGTGGTTCAGCCTCTCACAATATGCTATTGCTTGGTAATGTATAGTATGACTACCACCTCTTATTTCTGAGCTGAACATGTGAGATAGGGAATAAATGAACAGCAGGGTGCCAAGCAGAAAACAGTGTAAAGGAAGAGTGAGAAGGAGGGGAAAGAAGGGTAGGAGTGGATTGTATTCCTATCTAAGGCACTTCAGAAAAATCTCACATGCCTTTTGGCAGTATTCTCTCTGAATTCTTGTAATTTATAGAAGCTGGAAAGCATTGTGTACCATACAACCCAAACATAATTGTAAATTCTTCTGAGTAGTTATGGGTCAGATTAATGTTACATTTATGCACCCCAAATTTACTCAATATTTTTTTAGGAATCAAGAATTCATAGATTATAATTATTTCAGCAGTAAGACTTGAAGTTTATATAGTTGTGAAACTGTTTACTTGCATATGCAATCCCTCTTAAATGAGAAGTCTCTTTGCAACAAGTTATTTGCCTACAATAGCTCATGAAAAAAGTGGATACATGTAAATGTATGACCTTCCCTAATTAATCAATGCAATGACTGAGACTTGAAAAAGAGGCACTAATATTTGTAAGGACTGGAAAGTCAGATGGAAAATACTCAAAGAGCTTTCATAGTATATTCTAATAAAATCTAGCAAGATATTTTAAGACACTGACCACATTTATTTCTTTATGCAAAGGAGGGTGGCTTTTGTTTTGATTTTTTGTTTGTTTGGGTTTTTTTGGGTTTGTTTGGGTTTGGGTTTGTTTGGGTTTTTTTCCCTGAACTTGTCTTAATTCTGGAAACATCTTGTTCTATTTCACTCTTGCAATATTATTATTTCTTTATTTTATAATTTACCCTGCATTTAAGTGACTAACAAATTAACATGAAAGCTGTCAACTACATAGTCTCTTCCAAGTGATGAATCAAAGTGATACCAAAATTGTCAATAGACAAGCACCAATATAAAATAGGAAAACCTAGAAACTATGACATTTCATCTCATTGATGCTGATGACATCTCAAAGGTACTACTTAATTTAGCTAGGTTTTGGAGGGGCAGAAGGAGGATTGCTGGCTTTATTTCCATTTACAGTAATTGAGTCTAAAGACAAAGGTGATTTTATACTTAATAATTTTACACACACACACGTTTAATTGCTTAGCACTCTAAGATGCAATCTCATGCAATTGCTTTGAACACCTGGATACTTTTGTAGTAATATCCTAAGCCAGAATCACTATGCCAAACTTTATATACCCATATGGCTTTTAATGGTTAAGCTAATGTGAACACTCTGCGTTTAAATTCTTTATGGCAGACTACAATGAAGAAAAATAAAAAATATTCATGTCCACCATAAATCAACCAGTGCCCCTCTTGAAATTATTTTCAAATAGTTCAGAATTTCCATTAAACTATTAAAGCAGGTCAGGGAAAACCTCACTTGACAGAGATATTATAATGAAAGAAAAAATAAAAGCTGACTTGGAGCTGAAAGTTTTGCTCACTACTAGTAACTGTGAAATTAGATGTGTGGTTTATATCCCATCTACTGGAATGCACAATGAATAGAATACCTCTGGTTCACTGGCTGGTGTACATAGATTACTTAAAGCTGTATCTTTCAAAATGCTACTTTGAAAAAAACCCCAAAACAAACCAAGAAACAAAACAAGCAAAAAAAACCCCACAATGAAACAAAAAAACAAACCAACCAAATAAAACCAACCAAACAAAACCAACAAGAAACCAAACATCAAAAGGTATTTCTTTCTGTGCTGTATCACCCTATTGAATTCTGAAACCTATGCAATATCTTAGAAAGAGTTAAAATGCAGAAAACACAAGTTAGCATGCATTTCTATAAATATGACAGTGTCATATCTGCAGAATGTTACCTGCTTGAAGCAGATATGGACCATGTTTGTTTCCTAAGTATGTTTTTTCCTAGCTACTGTGTTGCTAACTGAGATCAAACATTACAATAACACTAACCAGGGGACTCATTCATGTCCTCTCAAACCTGACCTACACAGATTGAGACACAGAATTCTGGGGCATAAGAGTAATTTTAAAAAAAATAAAATCGAGAAGTAGGTAGTAAATGCTCCAAAGACACACACTTTTTTTTTCAGGGTAAAAGAAGTTAGGTCCTTTTGAAGAAACTATTATTGGCAGTCTAATCTGACTGGGAATAATTTTCTCAGTGGGAAAACTGCATTTAATTAAGTAGTGCTTGTTAGCATTTCCTGACACAGACATAAAATGTAATTAATACACAAAGACTTTCCCTCCTTTAAAAAGTCTGTCAAGTTACTACCTCTATAGCAACCACAAGTGAAAAAAGTCCAGAATTTAACAGCAAGAATTTTAAGACATCGATACAGAAACATATCAAAGCTTTATTCAGATAGGAACCTTACCTTCCTTTTTCAACAAGCAGCAGGACATCTATTTTCTCTCCATTTTGCATCACACTACTGGTTGCTGAAAACAAAACACAGACAAATTCATATGACCTACACAGACACACATGTATAGACAAACACATATACATATGCACACATTGACATGTTTTTTCAAAACGATTTTCGGGGGCAAAAGGAGCATGGAATTTTTAAATTTTGCAAATAAAGAATGCTGCTGATAGTAGAAATGAAACACCACAAAATATCACAATACATTTGCAAGAAAAAAATAATACAGAAAACTATCAAGAAAGGTTAAACAGGTACTCTTTAATGTGAAAACTTGCTACAGTGTTTGATTAAACTTGTGAATACAACTTTTAGAAGACACAACGATTCAGAAATAAGCTGGATTTTGGAATCCATTAATTTATCTCCACTCTAATCACTGCAAATATTTACAATAACATAATGCATGTTATATGTTGTACTGCAAAGATCACTGCCATCCTTCTTTATGTTGCCTTATGCTATTACTGCTGAAAAAACCCAACCTGTAAGACACCTATATTATGCATAATACAGAATATCCATCTGGATAGTTTCCAGTAACAGTGCTTATAAAACTACACTGTGCACTATACTAAAAAGGCTAAATTAAATATAATCTCCTTACTCATTCAAAATGCTGAAAAGTTTATTTCTCAAAGCTTATGTATTATATATCATCTGCATCTTATTTCAGCTAACTGCCACAGACAGTAAAGTCCTGAATATCAGTGACCCTCAAAAAGAACATTCTGATGCATGTTATTTGATGGGTTTGTATCACATGTGCTCCTGGCATCACTTACACTTACTGAGTAAAATATCAAGAAGGTAAGTGACTATATTTCCACGAACAGTTCAATATTTGTCAAGTTTCTCCTATACAATTCAGTATTAATAGTGGAGTAAATTTATATTGGGGAAAGTAGAGTATTAATAGTGGAGTAAATTTATATTGGAGAAAGCAGAAAAGATAGGAGCATGGATATATAGCATTTCCCAAAAATACAACTCTGTTAAACAACTATTATTAAAAAACCCAAGCAAAACCAATTCTCAGCTGAAAGTTAGATATGTTTCATTTTTATACATGGGTTATAGACAGATTTTGGATGCTTTTATGATTGTGGTAGAAGCAATTACAGTTGCATCATCAAAACAACTATCACACAAAGTTCTCCTACTGCCTAATCTTTTAATTCTGAATCATGATCAAAAAGTATTCACAAGTTAAAAGACATCTAGAGGCATAAAAACACTCCTGACTAAAAACCACCTTCACAGTGTTATTCACAGCAAATATAAGGTGGCAATAAATAAACAGTAGAAAGCCCAATGGCATTTAGGCATCTCCTGCAAAACAGTCCACAATCTGACAGCATTTATGAAGAGGATCATCAATAAGGAGCTAAATTATCTTCTCTATGTTACTTTAATAAAAAACCTCAATTTGTGTTTACTTTCCTACATAACATATTGCCTTGTTCAATATAAAAACAGGTAGGGCAGCTATGCTTAAAGAGGATTCAGAGCGTAATAACAAAAAATGATACAAAATTGGTCATAGAAGACCATTTGTACAAGTATTCTTATCTTTCCACATCAAGATATTGAGCAAAGAATATTTTTAGTGTCAGAAAGAAAAAGCTATTAGTCTGTGAAATAGATTTCCGAGAGAATTATAATTTTCCAGTACATTTGAGTATCTTAAAACTATGCCTGTCAATCATCTCAAGAATACATTCTGCAGTATTTCTGTCCTGTCAAAAATATGAGACAATAATCCCAAAAGCTTATATATTATTCAATTCTGTAGTCTTCCAAGAAAGATACTCCCACAACTGGAACAAAAATTGTCTTCATTCATTATAAAGACGTGAAAAACTTCTCTATCGTGTGCCACAAAGTAGGGAAAAAAACCCAAGACAGAACTTTACCACCTTTATATTTAGATAAGAGTTGGAAGAACATCTGGCTCATGTGAAAGAATAGTTACTAAGTTTGCCAATGTTTATGATTTAGAAATGTCCTTAACCATGAATTAATTCCAAAAACAAAGCTCTTACTTAGTTCTTGCAACCTCCTTAGATATATGGAATCTTCTTCAGCATTCTCCATTCCAAGACAAAAATAAAGGCTTGACTTCTCTATAGCAAACCAGCCTTTTTTCCACTGATCCAGGTTATGGCGATCTTTGTAGTACAGTTGGCCAATCAGCTCACAGTCTCTCTCTAACAGGGCTTCAGCCACAGGGGGAATAAAATGCTACCAAAGAAAATGGGGTGAGTGAGATGAAGAAAAAAACCCTCTTCCCCTAAAAAAAGAAAAAAATCAAGATATGGCAAATCTATAAGATTCAAGGATGAAGGTCACAGTAAAGAGTATGACTTTCAGATATATAATTCATAAACCCATATATACATCTAATTTGAAATATAAAATCAAGTATGACTTTTTTCCATTCATACTCTACAATTCAAATATTTTTGCTGTTTCAACTAAAATTGATTTAATTAGATATTTAATTAACATTTAATACTGTCTAAAATATGGTATTGCTTTATGAATTCTGTTTCAGCAAATAACAGAATGGCAACCATGAACAACTTAGCTGAAATAAATTCATACAGTATATGTCTTTATACTAGAGCACCTTTAATATATTCTTACGGTCAGCATGAAAATGTTGCTTCAATTCCTTTTGCATTTATTTTATTATCTCATTTCAAACATTAAATCACAGAAGTTATTTCTGCTGCACAAGAAACCTTTACACACAGGATAGATCAGCACACATCAAGTATGGCTTCTCAAAGGATTTTAAGCTAACAACCACACTTTATTCTTTGTGCAAAGGCTCCTGGCCTAACTGGAAAAGATAATTATCAGTATTACCTTAGCTATTGCCTGAGTCCATTTTCTCTGTGAATATGTAGTTTCAGCTCCAAATAGGAAAACACGTTCTGACATTAAGTAGATTTCAAAGGTAAAGATGTCCCTAAAGGAGGAAAGAGGAAAAAGGCAGCTGTATTTAGTCTTCACAACTGGAGATGTGCAAGAGTTGTATTGTCTATTTTTGCATTACTTCATACCTATGGAACAGAATCCATCTGTGTTTCTCCTCCAATCTTACAAGTACAGCCCAGCTAATAAGAGAGTACTTTATAACACAACATGATCAAAGTGCTTTTCAGGCCAATAATACATGTTTAGAGGCAATGGCATTAACAGTTTTTCTGTAATTCCAAAATGAATAAAAATGTTTACATATAGTCAATAAAAATGCACAGGGATTTTTTTTTTTTTGCTTTTGCAAGTTCACATGAATTCATCAAGTATATTTTTGTGATGCATTCAAAATATTTTGCTTAGAAGCAGACCAGCTCATTGAATGGAAAGTGGTGAACCACTTTGAAAATTATATGTAAACACTTTATTCTGACTAATTTTTAAGGACCAGTTGTTTCACTACAGGAAATACCAAATTTAAGGAAATTTCTCATAAAACTGCCCAATCACGGGTAAAGCAAAACAGGATGTTATTTATTCTCTAAAAGTGAAGTATACAACCAGCATGCTCTTAATGTATGTATTATCCAAAAGTTGAACCACTTGGAGATGTAGCAATCAATATGTTAGATTTGAAGACAGAAGAAGAAAGTGATTTTTTTTTTTTTTTTTTTTTTGAGATACCACAAAGCTCCTGCAGAATAATGAAGGCTGCAATATTTTATAGCATATTGAGGCATCCCCATATTTGAGGATTTCTCCCCTTGGCAGCAGCTAAAGTCCTTTATTCCCATTATCTTTTCCAGAAGCTTACCAAATAGACCATGTTTTCTTTGCAGACAATTTTACTTTGTAACTAAAAGCATTACACTAATATACTCTAGAAAGATATTTCTATTTTACATACATACACATCAAAAAAATTTAAAGTAAGCATTATGGATTTTGTTAGAGAAATCCGAAGTATAGTTTAAACAAAAATGTTGCCCTAAAGAAATCAAGTATCACTGGAATGCAACTCAGATTAGCCCATGTGATGTTCTAAATGCACAAATGGGATGTGAGGGAGTTAGAAAAGAAAAACAAGAACACACACACACAAAGTTGTTAGCTTCAAATTATACAATGTTTATCAGTTAAACTGTTGTCCTTGGATGCACAACAAAGAATGAGTTTCAAAGTCCAGTATCTCTGCAACCAAATCCAAAAATAGTGTGGAGAACTCTAATTTGCTACATTATTATGAGGAAGAAACAAAACAAGACTTTTGGCTTTAAGCAGAGGTTAATCCCAGAAAGAAAAATGAGTATTAATTGTTCAATTTATCATCATGTAATCTTTTAAGCACTGATAATATGCATTACAGACCTAATAAGAAACAGATGTAGCTAATTTAAGCTGCCCTTTTAAATTACCCTAACATTTTCATTCTAAAAATCCCCAAATATCACATAGCACTTATTTCCTGAAGTCAAATAAAACAATTCAGCTTTTTCCTATTCAAAATTAACAGCTCTGGAAACCCAGAATAAAATCTTTCAAATATCTGAGTTTGTTTATATAAATATGAATTTGGGAGCTTACCCTCTGTTTAAAAAGAAGTCTGATTTGTGTACCACAAGACAGATAACTTCACTGATGTCAATCATACCATTAGGACTGGTAGTTTTATCATTTTCATAGTAGCTCAGAAAGCCACTTTCCAAAGTGCACCATCTTTTGTTGAAATCTGTGATCAAGAAATAATAGAAAAGTCAGTTTTTTTTAAAGCAAGGTTTTTTTAAAAAATAAATAAATACAAGGTGGAAGAGAAAATCTGCAGAGCAACGTTAACGTGTTATTAGGCATATTTAATTAGGACCAAATGTCTACTCCCTCTTATGACCTAAAATGTGAATACAGCACACAACATAGAATATTAATGACTATTTGCAATTGGAAATACTCATGCATTCATTCTAGCTTATGTCTAGTTCTTACAACATAATCTGAGGTGTACATGTTCCCACTGATGCAGAGAATTAGGTCCTAAGAGAAAATAATCTCTTTCTCTTCTACAGCCTTAAAATTCCCATGCAGGTGCAAATATTCTGGCAAAGCATTTGTGGGAATTTGGTAAAGCAGATGTGGAAAAAATACCAAACAACCACTACACAAATCAAGGCATTTGTGGGAATTTGGTAAAGCAGATCTGGAAAAAAAACCAAACAATCACTACACAAATCAATCAAAAACCCAGTTGTTATCAGCAAATACTTATATATCTTGTTATCTCACACTTATTCCAATTTGTTTTACTATTGTTGGCTATATGACTTATACATGTTTTAATAAATATCTTGGTACTATTTTATTAGTATTTATTTGTATCATGGTATTTGCTGTCCTGTCTAAATATACATTTTAAGTACTAAAATAAATCTAAGATAAATGGTCTGAAAATGTATAAGTTTACAGCTGAGCCCCAAATTTATTAGTATTTATTTGTATCATGGTATTTGCTGTCCAGTTCTATCTAGATCCTGTCTAAATATACATTTTAAGTACCAAAATAAATGTAAGATAAATGGTCTGAAAACATCTAAGTTTACAGTTGAGCCCCAAACTTTGATGCTTTGATTGTTCAGGGGTTTCACTCTCTCATCCTCCAAAACATATTCCACAAAATAGCTCAATGCTTTTATTTGTATCATGGTATTTGCTGTCCAGTTCTATCTAGATCCTGTCTAAATATACATTTTAAGTACCAAAATAAATGTAAGATAAATGGTCTGAAAACATCTAAGTTTACAGTTGAGCCCCAAACTTTGATGCTTTGATTGTTCAGGGGTTTCACTCTCTCATCCTCCAAAACATATTCCACAAAATAGCTCAATGCTTCAATACTCATTACTTTCAAGGATGATTTTGGAATATCAAGGCTTTTAAAAGGGCTCCATAAAACTTTTTACACTAGGAGCAAAAACCAAACCTGAGCCAGTAAACCTCTAACCTCTACTTTTTGATCTACTTCATCAGAATAGCACCAACATTTGAGCTCTCTTCCTGCTGCCATCAACAGCCGTTAATTAACGACAGCTTTCCTGCAAAGTTATGCACCCCTGCTGAAACCACTGATGCTGCTATAATGAGAAGTACACACACAGTTGACTTACAGCCTCCTGCACTGAGACACACACAACCAAAAACCAGACTGTATTTCCAGGTGTTCCACCTGGTTGGTATAAACCCCAGGTTCAGTTCACAGCACCCAATGATTTCTTGAGTGTCCTTTTAGCATTAGTGCCCAACCCAAAAAGGGCAACAGTTTTTTGTGGCAACAAACACAGCACTAAAATTTTCAGCCCTTGGTGCTAAGGGCAAAGCTGACAACTGCTTCCTAACACTGAACAGGGAGTTAGCTTTTATGGTTAGATAGCTTCACAGGATTCTGGCTTGGAGCCCTGTCCACAAACAGCACTAAAGAAAATAAAAATAAATCAAAAGCCCCAAATTTAGACAAGTGCTATAATCCCCAGTGAGAGAATGGTGCTCCTTCTCTGGCCTGGTGAGGACTCAATTAGCTTGTGGCAAGACACAACTGCCTCAACAGGAATTCTCTTCTCTAGAACTTAATAGCAAGGTCACTTTTCTTCAGATAACATGACCTAATTTGAATATTTACAGGCACAGGAGGGAACTGAAATGGTACCTCCTACACATTACTACTCTAAACCCTCAAATTATTTCTGAAAGAGAAATTAGAAAAAAGTAATATAGTAACTTATTCCTAATAATCTGCAATATGCACACTACTTCATGTTAAGGAGGTTTTATAAATGCAGAAACAGTTCTTGATGGAGAGAAAGTGGGTAAAAAGAAAGATTATATATATGTTTTAAATAGCAAAAAGAACCTTTGTCATACTACTACTTAAACATGGCTGAGAAACATTGCAGCCCTCAGGCAAGAGCAGTTTCTAATTCAACACTGCAGAGGTTTTTGTTGTCGTCGAAAGGATTTATTATTAAATCTTCCTCCCTGGTCCCATTTGTCTTCTTGAACTGCAAATGGTCAGGGGAACCTCTCTCCTATGTATCAGTAAAGCACCTACCCCAGAAACATCAGTTCTGACAAACACCTTAATGCAAAAACAAAGCAAACAAACATTCTCCCAAAAAAAGTAAACACTAGAACACCTACCATCTTCAAGACACTATCACAATTTCAGAGGGCAGAACCTAAGCTGAGAGAAATATGGTTCCTTTCCATTTATTGCTATGTTTCTCCACGTATAAGTGCAACACTAAGCAAGACTACAAGCTTTCAAAGCAGCCTCATTTCTGTCCACTAAAAATGTAAGATGGAAGGCAGACAAAATTCAGTTGTTTCTTGTCTAAGGACTTGCATAATAAATATTTTAAGGCATCCTACTAACAATGCTCACTCATAGTGCATCTCCCTCAAAAGTACTACAGAAGCCAATCTGTGAGCATTTAGAGCTAAATCTTCAATCTATTCAAGTATTTACAAACATTCAGCACTTCTAACATGCCGCTCTGTTAGCAGAGACCAGCAGGGTTACCTTGTATCTGCTCTCTACTTCTCTCAGTGTTGACTTTCAAGGGTTCTTTTGAAGTTTTTTAATGAATATAGATACAGCACAGAAGAAAAGGCTGCACATGGAGTAAGTTGTACAGAGTTCTGCAGTTATTACAGTGTTTCCTGAATAAATTCTGTGCAGTTTCACAGCAATCCTCAATAAAGTCCTGTCCAGGAGAAATCCTCTGCCATAACAGGCATCTCTGTTAACAACTGCCAAGTTGCTGGGAAATCCCTGTGATCAGGCATTAGTTCTGTTGGTCAATCAATGCTTTCCAAAATTTGGAGCCATACTAACATAAATTCTTCAGAAGCATGTTTAAACAGGAGTTCTATGCTTTAAAGGCATACACCATGAGAATATGGACAAAATCATACAAAACATAT